GTCTACTTACTGAATAATTTGCTGAAAAAATACTGATCTATACATTTCAAATCTAAATTTTCACCATGCAATGCCGGGTAACTCAGCTAGTAGTTTATAAAATGTAGTCAAGGGCTCCTGTCATATACCAGGTTAACCAATAACGGTTTACAAATTGTAGTCAAGGTTCTCTATCATGCGCCATTAGAACCAATAATGGTTTACAAATTGTAGTCAAGGTCCTCTATCATACACCATGAGAATTAATAATGGTTTACATAAGGTAGTCAAGGTCCCCTATCATACACCATAAGAATCAATAATGGTTTACAAACTACAGTCTAGGGCCCCTATCATACACCATGAGAATAAATAATGGTTTATAAACTGTAGTCAGTGTTCTCTATCATACACCATGAGAATCAATAATGGTTTACATGAGGTAGTCAAGGTCCTATATCATACACCATGAGAATCAATAATGGTTTACAAACTACAGTCAAGGTCCCCTATCATACGTCATGAGGATCAATAATGGTTTACAAACTACAGTCAAGGTCCCCTATCATACGTCATGAGGATCAATAATGGTTTACAAATTGAAGCCAAGGTCCCTATCACACACCATATCTTCTAGTTTGAAGATAATTTCAAATCCTTAGAAAAAAAAACTCTCATGTTTTGACCCAGAGAATATCTACATAATTTTTTTTTCGTTAACCTTTAACACACTAAGAAAGTTTAATTTCTTAAAAATAGACAGTCAAACATCAAATATGTAGAATCACCAGGAACTTTCAAATATTATATGAAACATCAAAGGTTCAAGACAATTAACCTGGAAACTTGACTCATAATAAAAGTAGAATATTAGACACAATAAAGGTTAAAGGAAATGGACAGCACTGAATTCCAACTTCTACACAAACAATGGGTTCAAGATATCTGAGTCCAGTATAGTGATGTTTGACTGCACATATTTATCTAGCAGAACAATTACAACAAATTTAAAATATTTTTTTACACTCAACTTCTTTTCAAGGGAAGCACAAACCAAAAGTAGGTCTTTGTTTGAGAAAAACATGTTTCACTGTTCAAAATTATTTTGTTATTATTTACATGTGCAGTCAAACACATCTAACTTAACAGTGTCTTTAATTTGTTCAACAAAAGGTTAGGGTCACAATTAAATCAAACCTTCTGGTGTTTATAATTTAATACTTATGTTTAAAGGATCATCTTATCAAAATTTACAAAGTACATACTCCTCTACTGGTTGAGTAAACTGAGGCATTGTTAACACCTGGTGACGAAGGGCCAGTATTTCCTGTTGAATAATGGGACAGAAGAGTAGCCTCTGTCAGTGGTAGGGTACTGTTTGGAGGAGGTTCATATCCACTCCCCAGCGTGTAGCCATATTGATCCTAAGAAAACATGAAATATTTTTAGAGAGAGATATTAAGAGTAAAAACAATTCAAATATCTCAAAAATGACATGTACACAAACCTCCGCTGTGTTAGAGGGATAATCACAGATAATGTACACTCAGTGAGCACAATTTCCTCATGTCAATCCATATATTTATTAAACATAAAATCAGTAGTTAGGACATGTCTTAAATCATGTACAAATTATCTTAATGAACTTCAACAAGTAACTAAGAAACTAAAGAAAAAACAACACCAGGAAGTTGCTGTGATATACAAAGATTTGATATGAATTAAATCTCACAGTAATCAGTATCATATCAAACCCGAACTTTATACGAACTTATTTACAATAATAACATAATCAAACCAATAGACCTAAAGTATTTTACAAAAACAGTTATACTTAAAATACCTGAATATAGTCTGACATCATGCGCTAAAATTATACAGGTATTATTAATCAAGCCACGGTAGACAGAAGATCATAGATAAGTATTTTTAACTTATTTTGTAATTTGAGGAATCCATGTAATGGAGGTACCTCTGCTTTTTGCTTAAAACAACATATAAATGCAAATGTAAAGTTTGAAGCTATTATTTGTGGAACTCATACTTAGAAATTTAAAACATGAAGCAATAAACACAAGTGCAATGTTTGAAAACTTTAACTGGAATTTTCAGCCTGAATGGCACCATTTATGCATTTTAGGGCTAACCTGATCAGGTCAGAACTCTTTATAATTAAACGACAGTTTAGAATAACATAAAGCTATTGTCAAACCTTTGTTTGGAATAACATAAAGCTATTGTCAAACCTTTGTTTGGAATAACATAAAGCTGTTGTCAAACCTTGGTTTCGAATAACATAAAGCTGTTGTCGAACCTTGGTTTCGAATAACATAAAGCTGTTGTCGAACCTTGGTTTCGAATAACATAAAGCTGTTGTCGAACCTTGGTTAGGAATAACATAAAGCTGTTGTCGAACCTTGGTTAGGAATAACATAAAGCTGTTGTCGAACCTTAGTTTCGAATAACATAAAGCTGTTGTCAAACCTTGGTTTGGAATAACATAAAGCTGTTGTCGAACCTTGGTTTCGAAATAACAAAGCTGTTGACAAATCTTGGTTTGGAATAACATAAAGCTGTTGTCGAACCTTGGTTTGGAATAACATAAAGCTGTTGTCGAACCTTGGTTGGGAATAACATAAAGCTGTTGTCGAACTTTGGTTTGGAATAACATAAAGCTATTGTCAAACCTCAGTCTAGAATAACATAAAGCTGTTGTCAAACCTCAGTCTAGAATAACATAAAGCTGTTGTCAAACCTTGGTTTGGAATGACATAAAGCTGTTGTCAAACCTTGTTTTCGAAATAACAAAGCTGTTGACAAACCTTGGTTTGGAATAACATAAAGCTGTTGTCGAACCTTGGTTTGGAATAACATAAAGCTGTTGTCGAACCTTGGTTTCGGAATAACATAAAGCTGTTGTCGAACCTTGTTTCGAATAACATAAAGCTGTTGTCAAACCTTGGTTTCAAAATAACATAAAGCTGTTGTCAAATCTTGGTTTAGAAATAACATAAAGCTGTTGTCAAACCTTGGTTTAGAACAACAAAAAACTGCTGTCAAACCTTGTTTTCGAAATAACATAAAGCTGTTGTCAAACCTGTGTTTGGAAATAACAAAGCTGTTGTCAAACCTTGGTTTGGAATAACATAAAACTGTTGTCAAACCTTGGTTTGGAATAACATAAAGCTGTTGTCAAACCTTGGTTTGGAATAATAAAAAGCTGTTGTCAAACCTTGGTTTGGAATAACATAAAGTTATTGTCAAACCTTGGTTTGGAATAACATAAAGCTGTTGTCAAACCTTGGTTTGGAATAATAAAAAGCTGTTGTCAAACCTTGGTTTAGAATAATAAAAAGCGGTTGTCAAACCTTGGTTTACAATAACATAAAGCTGTTGACAAACCTTGGTTTACAATAACATAAAACTGTTGTCAAACCTTGGTTTACAATAACATAAAGCTGTTGTTAAACTTTGGTGTAGAACAATAGAACGATGTTGATGAACCCTGGTTTTGAGTAACAAAATGCTGCTGTTGAACCTTGGTTTGGAATAACATAAAACTGTTGTTACATTTAAGTGTAGAACAACAGAAAGTTGTTGCTGAACCTTGGTCTTATCTGTTGTTTTATGGATCAGACTAATAAATGACAAACAGTTAAATAAGCAAGTTTGAATTTTACAAAATATTGGTCTTAAAGCAGCACCAGACTCGACTCATTTAAATACGCATGAAAAGTACATTCTGTAAGTTAGTAAGATCCATAAATAATTTAATTTTGTGCTTTTCTTTGAAACTGAGAAAAAAAAAAGGATCTTGTTTGCTTTACAAAAGCATGCTTGTATCAAACAAAATCCGATTGGACACTTAACTACACTGTAGTACAACGATGTACATCAATATGCTTAAATGTATTATGATTGTGGTAATTTCAGCTTTTGCTTATACCATTTCCATGGTTCAGACCTGTTGTAACTCAGAGGAGTGCTCTACGAACTAAACTAAAGGGTTAACCCAGTAGCAAATGTTAGTGAGGTATTTTTTACCAATTTAAACAAGGACAAAGAAAACAAAAATGGATGTACATGTTTATTCGTTAGCACCAAAAACTTTTACAGTAAACGAGTTTTAACGCATGTTTAGTTGTAAAAAATAAAATTTAATTTAACACCTGAACAAGACCCCAAATATATATATATATCAACAATCCTTGAAGAAACCAGTAATACTTTAACAGAACTGATAAAACGAGTAATTGTAAAAGCTAAGAAAGTACAAAAGAAGAATCGTGCGATTTCCAGAGAAAAATTTTCAGTTTGTTTTCCAGTTTATGCACGCATGTCTTGAAGCATTTTTTCAACAGTACGATGTTATTATCAGAAGATATACATCCCTCTTCTCTTTACTGAACAGAGCCGCTCGTGAGAGAACGAGCCACGCGGCACAGCTGTCGAAGTCCCACGCATGTACGACGGTCAAACACAGGCTGAAACGCTTTCACCCAACTGCGCACGTGAATTTACACACTGGCGGAAACAGACACACACCCACTGGTTCCAGCTATCTGTTGTGTTAATCAATAAGCGTTTGTAAGCTAGTAATATATTACTATTATAAAGGTTCCACTGAATATTTTAACTTATTGCAATCGCTCATAACTAACCTACATTTAAACATATTTTACAAAAGTAAAAGAAATTAAAATAGTGAAATAACTTTATGAAATGGATAAGTACTCCTTATCATAATTAACAGAGGTATCGCGGACTACTCTTCGTTTGTTTTATAAAATAACAAACAAACCAAGAATACTCTGCAGTATCTCTATAATTCAAATAATAAATGTACTTCCTACATATCAGTCACTTCTGTCAGCTAACTTTACTGACCTGAGTGAGTAGTTCTTTGTGTCAGCTAACTTTACTAACCAGGGTGAGTAGTTCTCTGTATCAGTCACTTCTGTCAGCTAACTTTACTAACCTGAATGAGTAGCTCTTTGTGTCAGCTATCTTTACTAACCTGGGTGAGTAGTCTTCTGTATCAGTCACTACTGTCAGCTAACTATACTAACCTGGGTGAGTAGTTCTCTGTATTACTCACTACCGTCAGCTAACTAGACTAACCAGGGTCCGTATCAGTCACTACTGTTAGCTAACTTTATTAACCTAGGTGAGTAGTTCTCCGTATCAGTCACTACCGTCAGCTAACTTTACAAACCTGAGTGAGTAGTTCTTCGTGTCTGCTATCTTTACTAACCAGGGTGAGTAGTTCTCTGTATCAGTCACTACTGTCAGCTAACTATACTAACCAGGGTGAGTAGTTCTCTGTATCAGTCACTACTGTCAGCTAACAAAACTAACCAGGGTGAGTAGTTTTCCGTATCAGTCACTA